CCTCCCGCCGCAGCCCCCCGGGGCCGGGTGCGGTCGGGGGGTCCCGCTCGGCAGCACCTTTGGGGGGTCTCGGCTCCGGCTCCCCCCGGCCCCCCCGGCGGCTCTTCCCGGGGGGGGCCAGGCCGTTCTCTGGGCAGGGGGCGGCCCGGGGGGGGCAGGGGGGGCTGTCCCGGCGCAGGGAGTTGGAGCGGGACACGGACACGGCCTCCAGCTCGTCCAGGAGCCACGCCAGGGTCCCATCCCGGCCCCCGGGGGTCCCATCCCGGGGGGCTTTGGAGCCGCGAACGATGGGCTGTGGGGAGGGGGGGGACAGAACACGGGGAAAACGGGGAGAAAAGGGAAAAAAACAACGAAAAATGAAATGGAATGTCGGGGAGAGAGAAGGGATGGAGGGGGTGGACAGGAGGGAATGGGGGCACGGGGGACACAGTGGGATGGAGAGGGTGGGGGGGGTGAGGAGCAAATGGGGAAGAATGGGAGGTGTGGGAATGGGGGGGTGGGAATGGGAGGGGTGTGGGAATGGGAAAGGTCCTTGACTTGGGGCACAGACTTAAAAAAATGGGAAAATACAGCATAGGGGAGGGATCAGGTGGGAATGACCCTAAATTCCTGTGGGATGGGCTTGTTCCAAGTGTGGGGAGGAGTCTCAGCTGGGTGGTCTCTGTCCTGGGGGTCCCCAATGCTCCCTCACCTGCTCCAGGACACTGCAGGTAGAGGGGATGGACCCAAATTCACCCCAGTTTGGATTTTTGGTCCTAAAGAGAGGGCAGGAACACTTCCCTGCTCTGTCACCCTCCAATTTCCCCCTGCTTCCCCCCAAAGAGGGGGTGGGGACCCAACTACCACTCCCCTGCTCCGGGACCGCCCCCCCCAACAGCCCAGACCTCGTGGGGGCTGTGAATGGCCCCCTGACCCCCTCTCCTGACAGCCCAGACCTCGGAGGGTTCCCCAATACCCCCAAGGATCCTCTCTGTTTTGGGGCCCACGAACGGTTCCTCAATCCCCCTCAGGGATCCCCCCACCCTGTGGGGCCTGTCGACTGTCCCCAAATTCCCCCCCGGGGATCCCCCGTTTTGAGGCCCAGGTCGCCCACCTTTTGGGGGGCGCGGATGGCGGTGATGCAGGCGGGGTCCACGAGGGGCTTGGGGCGCCGGGCCGACTCCTCGAGCAGCCCCTGCCACTGGCGGGGCAGCCCCGTGAAGCGCTGCTCGGACGGGTCGTACCCCGTGTGCACCCGGTGCTCGAAGTTGGACGGGGCCGAGATCTCCACCCGCTTCTTCTTCTTGGAGAACATGGCGAGGGGGGCACCTGGGAACGAGGGGGGACGGGTGAGTGGGACACCTGGGAACGAGGGGAGAAAGGGGAGTGGGACACCTGGGAACGGGGGGAGAAAGGGGAGTGGGACACCTGGGAACGGGGGGGGCGGGTGAGCGGGACACCTGGGAACGGGGGGGACAGGGGAGTGGGACACCTGGGAACGAGGGGGGACGGGTGAGTGGGACACCTGGGAACGAGGGGAGAAAGGGGAGTGGGACACCTGGGAAAGGGGGGGGACAGGGGAGTGGGACACCTGGGAACGAGGGGAGAAAGGGGAGTGGGACACCTGGGAACGGGGGGAGAAAGGGGAGTGGGACACCTGGGAATGGGGGGGGACAGGGGAGTGGGACACCTGGGAACGAGGGGAGAAAGGGGAGTGGGACACCTGGGAACAGGGGGGACATGGCACAGGATCAGTGCCATCCTACAGTTCCAGCTCGGAGGATTTTGGGAATGGGATCCCATTAATCGGCACCGAATCCCTCTGGGAATGGTCCCAAAATCTCAGGGATTTGGGCTGGATCTGTTTTTCCCACTTTTGCTGCTCCTGGGGGCCAATCTCCTGCTGTTTTCCCCCATTTTTTCCATCTGCTCCCGTAGGTTCAATCCTGCCTCCCAGGCTCTGGAATTCTGCTGCCTCCAAGTCTTTCTCTCCATTTTTCCCAACTTTTGAGGTTTTTCTCCTCAAATTCATGATCCCTTGGGCAACTTTTTCTCCTCCTCCACTTTCATACTGCTCAAAATCTGCTGGAATTCCGTATATTCCCCATTTTTCCTGCTCATCCCGGGCTGATCCTTCCTTCCACCTTTCCGGGATCCTCCCTGAGCTGCCAAAATCCCATTTCTGGGTGGAAAATCCTCCTGGACTGGGGAAGTAATGGTCAAATTCAGAGTGGGGCGATTAACATCTGCTGGGTTTGGGTTTGTGCTGCTGGAAATTCCATGGGAAAGATTCTCGGAGGAACAAGGTGCAGCATTCCCTGCCTCCAGACACCAAATCCACCTGATTTCACCCCAAAAATATCCTTTTTTTGGGGCTGGTGGGGGAAAACCAACAGCACTGGGGCAGGGGGGCAGAGGGATCCTGGAGAATTCCAGAGGGTGGGATGCAGGTCAGGAGGAGGTTAAAACCCCCCGAACATTCCTCAGTCCTTTGCAGGTCACATTCCCTGGATCCCGCTGGGTTTAATTAGTAACCAATTAACAAGGAACCGACTCAGCACACAGGGTGCAGCATTCTCATATTTCCCCCCCAAATTCCCCCCAAACCAGCGCTGTTCTGGCTGTATCCTGGTGGGAATTGTGGTGCCACCTTCAGCATAAAAAATAAAAGGAAAAATAACGGAAAAAAGGGTGCAGGGAGGTGATTCCTGTCCTTCCCATAAACCCCAAATCTTCTTGCAGGAAGAGCCACCTCGGTGGAAAATCCCTGAGCTGGCTCTTCTTTCCACAGAATCGTTTTCCCGGTGCCAGCAGGGGCAGGGACAGATTTGAATCTCTCCAGTTCTGGGTTTTCCACAAAAAAAATTCCAGCAGCAGTTTGGGATCCTTGGGAAGCAGCTCCTGAAGGTGGGGATGGATCAAAGCTCATCAAGAAGCCCCGAAAACTCCCGGAATTCCGAGGGAACCAGTGAAGGTTATGTTTTCCTGCCCCGCATGGATCATCCTGAGGATTCCTGGAGCTCCCTCCCAGCTCCGGGGTCACACCTGATATCCCAAATCCCAGCCAGCCCTGCTGGGGGCGGGTTGGGAGGCGTCGCTCCAGGTGCTGTTTTCCTTAAATAAAACCCCAGGAAGGGAAGCGGCACCGGGCGGGTCCCGTACCTGGGACAAATCCCAGGATTCTCCCCATGGGGTCACATTCCCGGGGCCGGGAGGGCGGAAGGACGTGGCCGGGCCGTGCCGGAGGGTTCTGGAGCCGCGCCGGGAAGGGCGGGTTGGACTGGAAGGGCTGGATCTGCCGGGAGGGGGAGGAGGAAGAGGAGGAGGAAGAGAAGAGGTGTTGAAAAGCCTCAGAAAACCGGCCCCAGGAGAGGAATCCTGGAATTCCAGGAATCCGGCGACCCCTGTGGAGGCCACACAAAGTCAAAGGGGATTCGTTTCCTTCCTTAAAGGAAAACTTCCCGGAACCGGGACATCAAAGGTTCTGGGAAGGGGATCAGCACGTTCCAGGGATTGCTGGGAAAAGAGGAAAGGGGGAAAGAGGAGGGGGAAAAAGGAACGGAGAAAGGGAGGAAGAAAGAGGAGGAAAATGAAAAAAGGAGAGAAAAAACAAAGAACAAGAAGAAGGGAAAGGAGGAAAAATGGGGAAAACAAAAACAAAGATCAAACAGAAGGAAAAGGGAAAAGTAACAAAAAGGGGGAAAGACACAAAAGAAGGGAAAAGAGGAAAAAGGGAAAAAAGAAAAAGGGGAAAAGAAAAAAAAAGGGGAAAAGGAGGGAGTTTCTGGTGGAATTTCTCTCCTTTCCCACAGCAAAAAGTTTCCTCCAAGCTGTTCCTCAGGAATCCAAGGGATCCCAAATTCCCCAGCTTGGCCTATTTTTTTCCTCCTTTTCCTTGGAGGAGCAGCGATGGGAACACCAGGAAGACATTGGGAACTGCGATTTCCCTCCCCAACCTGGAGGAAAACCCCCCGGTTTTAAGGAGTCGAGACGTTCATGAGGATTTCCAGTGCCCGGAATTCCTGACTCAAATCCGGAGGAAACGCTGGGAAAATCCATCCAAGGGCCCTGGATAGAGCAGGGCGACGAGACCCCCCCATGGGGATGGGATAAAGAATTCCAGGGAATTTCTGGATCTGTTTCCTACCTGCCAGGAAGGGGAAACTCTCCCACCTCAGCTCCGCATTCCGGACCCTCCGGGAAAAGCGCTGCACGGAAATAACGGAACTCTCTCAGGATCAGCCCCAAACCCCCACTTTGGGGGCTTTATAGGATGAGGGAGGGGCAGGGGGTAGACCCGTATCTCGACTCTCTGAAATTCCAGGACCCCCCCGAGGACTTGGGGAGCCCCAAACTCCCCTCCAAACCCATCCCCCCCAATCCCACCACATCCCTGACCCCAAAATTCTTTGGCCTTAGGGGTCCCTCAAACCCCCCCTGAGCCCCCCAAGGCCCCCTCAGCGCCCCAAATCTGCCCTTAAGGCCCCTCAAATTTCCCCTCAGCCCCCTAAATCCGCCCTCCAGCCCCTCAACACCCCCTCGAATCCCCCCTTCAGCACCCCTTCCTCAGTCCCCCACATCCCCCTTTCACCCCCTCAAATTCTCCCTTTGGCCCCCCAGACCCGCCCCAAAGCCCTCCTAACCCCTCTCAGAGGCCACTCGGTCTCTCTCCGACCCCTCCCCGTCCCCTCGGACCCCCGTTTCCCCTCTCGGCCCCCCCTCGGCCCTCACTCGGCCGCCGCCGCCATGTTGCGATCGACACACATCCGGGTCCTCCCCGCCCGCGTCGCCGCGGCGACAGACCACGCCCTCGGGGGCGGGATTATAGGTTAGTGAGCGGGGCGTGACCAGCCCAATATGGGAAAAGAGGCGTGGCATGAGGAACGACTGAAGCAAATATGGGTAAAGGGGTGGGGTTTAGAGCGGGATGGGTGGAGTTTAATGCTGAAGGGGCGGGGCCTGAAGCGGAAGTTATACTCAACGTGCTGTTAGGGCGGGATTAAAAGGGAGAGCGTCCAATCGCGGGGCGAGTAGCGGGGATTGGCAGTCGCGCTGTCCAATCGGATCACGGTGCGCTGGAAGCCGGGTAAGATGGCGGCGTTGTGAGGGGAGCGTTCCTGGGACACCCCCGGGCGGCTCTGACTGTGTGTTCTCCTCCCCTCAGAACCCCCGGAGATGCCGCTCCGCGCCGTGCTCAGGGCCGCGGCCTCGCTGCGCCGCTGCGGTGCGTATTTATCCCACCCAAAACCACTCCGTCCCCGGCTATCCCCGCAAACAAACCCGCCCCCCCAACCCACTGACCCCTCTCTGTGTTCTCCCCCGCTTTCCATCCCCCACTGACCCCCCTTTCCTTTATCCCCACCCCCACTGACCCCTTTTCTGTGTCCCCCCGCAGGTCCAGGACCGTCACTCCCCACCACCGCCACCCCTCTCTTTCTCCCCGCTCTCCCGCCGCCGCCCCCCAGACCCGCCCCCATGGCCACGCTGAATCAGATGCACCGCAAGGGCCGCCCCGCGCCGCCCCCCCGCAAACTGGGGCCCACTCAGGGCCGCCCCCAGATCAAGGGGGTGGTGCTGAAGAACCTGATCCGCAAGCCCAAGAAGCCGAACTCCGCGAACCGGCGGTGCGTGCGGGTGCGGCTCAGCACGGGCAAGGAGGTGGTCGCGTTCGTGCCCGGCGAGGGGCACAACCTGCAGGAGCACCACGTGGTGCTGGTGCAGGGCGGCCGCACCCAGGACCTGCCCGGCGTCAAACTCACCGTGGTCAGGGGCAAGTACGACTGTGCCCACGTGCAGAAGAAGAAATGAGAGTGGGGGTCACCCCCCTCGGGGGGCCCGAGCGGGGGAGTAGCTGCGCCAGGGGGTGCGAAGCGAGAATTAAAGGCGGTTCGTTGTGCGAGGGTTGTGCTGTTGGAGTCGTGTTGGGGGCAATGGGGAGAGGGTTGGAGGGGGTAGGGGTGGTGGGAAGGGTCGTGGGAGCATTGGAAAGGGGCCTGGGGGGGGATGTGGGGGTCTAGGGACACTGGGAAGAGTCGGGGGGGGACCTTTGGGCACTGGGGGGGAAAACTGGGGACCTAGGAGGGGCAGCTGGGGGCACCGGGGGGGTCCTGGGTGGTCACTGGAGGGTCTCGGGGAGGTGACCAGGAGGGTCCATGTTGGGATGTCACTGAGAAGGGTCCTGGGGGGGTCCTTGGGGGTTTCCTGGGTCGTCACTGGGGGATCCTGGGAAGTCACCGGGGGTGTCCTGGGGGGATCACCGACCACCGGTCCAGCCGGCTGGCCAGAGTACTCGGGCGGGCGTGGCCTGGGCGCTCCGGCGGCGCGTGCCCGCCCCCCCGTCCCGCCCCTTCCGCCACGTGACGCCCGCGGTGCCGGTGCCCAAGATGGCGGCGCGCAGGGCGCTGCTGGCGGCGCGGGGGGTCGTGGGGCGCGGCCGGCGGGGGGCGGCGGCGGAGGGGGCCGGTGCCGCTCCCGGTTTGGGGAGCGCGGGGCGGAACCGCCTGTACGAGCACGTGCGCGAGGGGCTGAGCGCGCGGCCGCAGCTCGACGTGACCGCGCTGAGCGAGAGCGACGTGGAGCGGCGGCGCGGGCCGCTGGGGGGCGCTGAGCTGCGCGAGATCGTGAGGGGCGGGGCCGTGCGGGGGCGGGGTGAAAATATGGGCGGGGCTTTACCCGAAATTGGGCCGGGGGCGGGGTCTACGCGGGGGGCGGGGCCTACTATAAATACGGTGGGGGGAGGTGTGTGGAGCCCTCCGGGCCGATGGGGAGGGGGGTCTTTGGGGGGGCGTCCACCTTAACCACGCCCTCCCCTCACATCCCCCAAAAGGTGCAGGTGTGGTCCCGGCTGGGGCAGGTCCGGGATGGCATCGCCCGCCTGGAGGCCGAGAAGGGGCAGGTGGCCCAGGGGGTCCGGGAGCTCATGGTGAGACCCCCGAGACCCCCAGCAACCCTCCCTACATGCCCCAGTTCTGCATTGGACCCCCGCGGGTTCCTCCAGCCCCACTCTGCCCCCCAGAACCCCCTCAGGATCCCCCAGTTTCCCCTGAGACCCACCAAGACTCCCCACTGGGGTACCCCTGCTCCCCCCTCTGTCCTTCCCAGGACCCCCTGGTCCCCACTGGTGCCCACTCAGTTGCCCCATAACCCCCCTGGACCCCTCAGGTTCCCCCCCCCCCGAGCTCCCCAAGCCCCCCTGAACCCCCCCAGACCTGCCTCTGTCTCTCCCCCCAGGCGTCCCACGACAAGGCGACGGCGGAGTCGGTAGGAACAGGCTTTGGTGGGGCTGAGGGAAGGGGCGGGGACCCCCCCAGTGCTCCCCCGTACCCCCTGATCGTGGCCCCCCCTGCAGCTCCCGGCGTACGCGGCGTTGCGGGCGCGGGGCCGGCAGGTCCGGGGGCAGCTCCGGGAGCTCGAGGCCGAGGAGTCCGACCTGGAGCAGAGGTTCTACCTGGGGGCCCTGCAGCTGCCCAACTGCACCCACCCCGCTGTGGTGAGCCCCAACCCCCCCCAAACACCCCGTGCAGCTGCCCAACTGCACCCACCCCGCTGTGGTGAGACTGGAGGGCTCCTGACCCCCTCCCGTGCCCCCCCAGCCCGTCGGGGACCAGAGCCAGGCCCGGGTGCTGGAGGTGGTTGGGGAGAAACCAGGTACGTGGGAACTGGGGGGGAAGGAGGAGGAGGAGGAGGGTTCTGAGGAGAAAAGAGGTCCTGGGGAGGGGGGATGAAGACACTGGGAGGGCTCCTGGGTGAGGAAGAAGAGGGTCTGCGGGGAGGAGAAGGGTCCAGGGGAGGGTGAGGAGGATCTGGGGAGTGGGGAGAAGGGTCTGGGGGTGATGAAGGGT